CATCAACAACAACATCATCATCATCACCAACAACTACATCATCATCATCATCAACAACAACATCATCATCATCACCAACAACTACATCATCATCATCATCATCAACAACAACAACATCATCGTCGTCATCATCATCAACAACAACAACATCATCATCAATATCTCCGTCATCATTACCGTCTCCATCATCGTCGTCGTCATCTCTTCGCATTTTTATTCATCTTATAGGACTTCCTAGCCCTTATGAGGAAGAACAGGTAAGCAAACAGCCTGAAAACCATCATTAGAAGAAGCAGAATCATGAAATCGAAGGTCGTGTTTTTCTGTTGTAATTATGAATTATGGTTGTTTTAATTGCTTTGACAATTATTTTATCATCATTATTAGTTTGTTATGGGTGTCGAGATAGCGCAATGGTTAAGCCTGTCCCATGCTATGTGTGTAACGCGTTGGTTCACGCGTATTTACATGGATGGATGAATGGATGGATGGATGGATGGATGGAAAAGTGAATAAGTTGATGAATGAATAGATAAATAGAGCAATGAATGAATGAGTATATGAATGAATAAAAGTAACTACCTCATCATATCCCAGAGATTTAATGATGTCTTGCCCATCCCTGAAACATCTGCCGGAACTGGCGCCATCCTCGAACTCTATCTCACAAGCTAATCAGGGTAAGACAAAAAAATTTAGTATTAACTTTTTATAAAACTTAAAATTTTAAATGAAAAATATTTCAAAAGTTATTATAAAAATTGCAAAATCAGGCGCTAAACTAAATCAATAAACTCCTAATTATAATAATTTATTCACAAACACTTACTAATATTAGTAACGTGCGACCATTGGTTGACGATGAGTATCTCATTTGAATACGTAAACCATGATACGTACTTTAACCATATAAAATATACAGGAATTGAGCTGATCAAAATGATTTTTACATATTTTTATTAAATAATTAATTAACTAATTAGTTAATTTGTTTGCTTATTTATTAAAATCGATTAAAAAATAATTCAAATCGTACACGACGTTCACGAAGAATCCACCAATCATGATGCAGGGAGTTATAAATAGCGGACCAATAGCAATGGCCATTGCAGTGTTATTAAAGGCAGTGGACAGAAGGTAGCCTGTGATTGGTTGATGAAATATGAATGGCTAATTTTGCGAAGTAATCAAGTATACATAACAAATTTATTTAATTAATACTGAAAATATAAGATAAAATTTATTAACATCATCAGAGCAATTTAGTTTAGGCTTTTGAGATTTTAAGTTTAATAATAATATGATGATGACTGTCATCATCATCATATCATCATTATCATCATCATCATCATAACATCATTAGCATCATAATCATAACTAACCGAAGGATACGGATACATTGCAGACCATGAAATTGCAGGCGAAACAAATGAAAAATGCCGTTACCGAATTGTAAAAGCCTGCAATCATTAGCATAATGTATTAATTTATTCATAAAATTTAATTTTACCAAGCCCACCGATTTGCATATATTATAAATTAGGAGCACTGGTTATTTGTAAATATTTACGCTTAACAATAGTTAGTAATTTAAAATAATTAGTTAATAAATTAGCATAAACTAATGAAGTAACACGTTAATAATTTATCAAATATGAATAAATTAACATAAGTTAACCTATAGTCCAGTACATCATGAGAGTGAATACCATTGGGAGAAGAGTGAACTGTGGTAACTAAAAATGTCATTCATTTATTTGGTTAGTTAATCTTTCTTTCTTTCAATTGTTTTTTACTATTTAATTATTCATTCATTCATTCGTTCGTTTATTCATCCATTTATTTTGTCCATTCGTTCGTTACTTCATTCATTTTTTTCCTTCGTTCCTTCGATTTTAATTATTCAATCATCTGTGCGTTATCGCCATCAACATTATTCTGGCATCATCATTCATTCGTTCATTCATTCATTCGTTTGTTCGTTCATTTATTCATTCATTTATTCATTTAATCATTCATTCTTCCATCATAATCATCATCATCCTTAATGTCATCATCGTCATCATCACCTCGACGATTGTTTTACACAAGAAGTAAACATCAGCTCTGTATACACCGTCATGATGTTCTTTTAGAAAAATTGGAAATTCCACCGGAAACAGCTGATTGTTTATAAATAGAAAGTGAAAGTTCACAAATAGAAAATGAAAGTTTATTAATAGAAAGTGAAACCGACGATGAGTATGTACTTTTTCAAATAACCATACTAATATCAGTAGCAACAACAACAGCAGTAATAGTATAATATTACAAAAATTATTTCTTCCAATGAAAATTTTAAAATAGCGCCTAACAAAAGCCGAAAATAAATTAGGACAGACCATAGATATTTTTAAAATTAAAAAAACAATTAGATACAAAACAAAAGAGAAATACTAAACAAGATATTTTTAAAATTAAAAAGACAATTAGTAACGAAACAGCCGCAAAAAATGGCAAACAACTGCCAACTTATTTTTCATTTCACACGGCAATACTAACCAGTACGACGTTGAAGATGAAGCCAAGGGTCATCTGCATCTGCATCAGAAAGAGTGCTCCGTTGATGTTAGTAACGCCCCGCTGGTTGTACGGTTGCTGCCAGTACACTAAACTAAAAATTAGGGAAAGAACCTGCCAGTGATTGATTGATTGATTGATTGGTTAATTGAGGACTGATTGATTGGGGACTGATTAATTGATTGGGGAGTGATTGATTGATTGATTGATTGATTGATTGATTGATTGATTGATTGATTGATTGATTGATTGATTGATTGATTGATTGATTGATTGATTGATTGATTGATTGATTGATTGATTGATTGATTGATTGATTGATTGATTGATTGATTGATTGATTGATTGATTGATTGATTGATTGATTGATTGATTGATTGATTGATTGATTGATTGATTGATTGATTGATTGATTGATTGATTGATTGATTGATTGAATGGATAAAATTTTAATAATAATATAAAAATTAACACAATATAATAATTATATAAATAATAATAATAATAATATAAATAATAATAATAATAATCATAATTTCATACGATGATCTGCATCAAACGAATCCTAAATACGGCCGGCTCTCTTAAATTGTTCAGAGCACACCTCCATAGTAATGTAAAAAATTGCTTGAACCATGAAGCTTTGTATCTGTGTGTATGTGTGTGTGTGTTTGTCTGTGTGTGTGTGTGTGTGTGTGTGTATGGCTATGTATATATGTACGTGATATTATTATAAATGTATTTGTATAAAAACCACTAACGGTGAGCTATTGAAGAATGAATCCTCTTCATACTGTTATAATTATGTTAAATTATGTTATAATTATGTTAACTCTACTAATATCACCACAACAACAATAACAGAAGCAACAACAGCAACAACAATAACAACAACAACAATGATAACAACAATAACAACAACAACAACAACGGCACTAACAATGGCTCCATCCTCGTTGAAGTTACTTCCGTCAATCAACCTTCGAACGTACTGCGCCTGCGCGGTTTTCGTGAACGCGTCACAAATGACGTCACTTTTGGCACGTGACTCAGCCTCGTGACCTGGTTCTATGGCCAAAACACGGACAAAATGGTCTGCCGGATTGTAATTAGGCGGGGTGGGGTAACCGCATCTGTGATAAAAAAAGAGATGTACCGGATGCTTGCTTTAATTCGGTTTGAATTTTTTTTATGATTTTTGTTTGTTGTGTTTTGTTTGTTTGTTTGTAGGTATGTGTGTATGTTTGTTTGATTGCATGTACGTTCCATAATTTGTTTATTATTGATGATGATGATGATAATTGTAATGACGACGACGACGATGATAATCACGATGAAGATTTGAAAATTCAGAGAGGAACCTTTTAAAAAACTCCGAAGTAGCAACTGCCGGTCCGATGTATGCCACTCTACCTTCGCTAATCAAAAGCAATCTGCAATCATCATTATTACCTTCAATATCGTCATCATCATCGCCATCATCATCATCATCATCATCATCATCATCATCATCATCATCATCATCATCATGACCAACCTGTCGAACAGCTCGTACAGCTGACTAGATGGCTGATGGATGGTGCATATGATCGATCTACGTTCCACGACAAAACAAAAATTAATAATAATAATGATAATAATAATAACAATAACAAAAATAAGAATGACCTTCCCCTACTCGCCATAGCCTTCAAGGTCATCAGAATGTTGTACGCCATGTAGGAATCTAAACCGGAAGTGGGCTCGTCCAAAAATAATAACGGCGGATTTGTCAAGAGCTAAAAATGGCGGGAAAATTTTTTAAAAATTGTCGCGATGAGCTTGCCAAAAGCTAATTTTAACGGGAAAATTTGAAATATAAAAAGTTTCATAGCAGGAAAATTGTTCACAACAATGAAAGTTTGCTATAAAATTCAGTTTTTTGGCAGGAAGATTGACAAACTTGGATGTAGGTTGACATTATCTGACCTAAATAGGGTTAGTAGTAACCCAAGTAGCCTTTCGACCTAGAAAAAAAAACATTTGAACTAGTAAAAAAACATTTTGAGCTAAGGTACCTCCGAGGCGAAGGCTAATCTTTTTTTCTCGCCCCCACTGATGCCCTTGATCCTGCCGGGACTGCCAATGAGAACGTCGGCACATTTGTGGAGACCCATTTCTTGCATCACCTCGTCCACACGATCCTCGCGAATTTCTTTCGGGATATCTCGATCCATCCTTAGCTGAGACTACGTGTGTGTGTGTGTGTGTGTGTGTGTGTGTGTGTGTGTGTGTGTGTGTGTGTGTGTGTGTGTGTGTGTGTAAAAATTTATACATCTCAATTCAACAGTAAATCAATCAATCAATCTGCGTTATCAATAATTATGAATAATAGTACTTATAAGTGAATATCAAAATTTATCACATCCCTATTTCATTTCCCTAGGTTTCCTAATTAATCTCTAATTCACCCCAACAGCCTTTACCTGAAACCAGAGATGTTCCTTGACGGTGATGGTGGGCAAGAATATATCTTCCTGTTGAACGTAACCCGACAAGCTGGGCATGGCCTTTCCTATTAAGCCCCCGTTCACTCTGACGTCACCTGACACTAATAAATTTCCTCTATTGCGATAAGTCAGAACGTTCAGGAGAGTGGTCTTCCCTGACCCACTTTCATGTGATTTGATTGGATGGTGGATTGATAAATGAAATATGATTGGTTGTTGATTAGCGTGAATGAATTGATTGTCGGCGTGTGACACAATTTCGTGAGATATGATTGGTTGTTTATTTATTATTGGTGAATTAATATGCACAGAAAAAGAAAACTTAGATCAGCGGACCGACCTCGCCCCCATGACGGCCAATATTGTCCCGGGTTCAACCACACCACTGACTGAAAGATTACGAATTTTTAAATAATAAAAATTTTATTAATCATAGTGATAATTATTATCAATATTGAAATTATAATAATATTATATTATATTATATTATAAGATAATAAAATGAATAAAAAAATATGTTATCAATCAGAATCAAGGATTTTCGAAGAAATAACATTGGTGAAAAAAATTTCCCATCTTTCCCCTAACCATTTTTAAGAATTTGCTTAAGATCCGGATCATCGTCGCTAGGATTGTTGGGGGAATTTTTCAAATCCTCATCATCACCACCAACTGAACCTGAGTTTTTGTTCCGCTTCCACAAATTCAACTTCTCCTTCTGAATAATTTAATATAATCGACAAATTACGCTGACTAAATTACTTTTAATAAGAATTAAAAGCTGCTTAATCGGGCAACGTCAAAACTTGGGGCAAATTGATCTGGCCCTTTTAACCGATTACATAAGTAACGGTTAAAGGGTTAGAATGTTCGATATTACGATGTAATATAAATGTGCGATACATACGCTTAAATCATCACCACCGCCGTTATCATCATCATCATTACCACCATCGCCATCATCACCATCATCATCATCATCACAACCTTAACTGGAGCATACACATTGATGTGATCCCATGTTAGTGTTATCCTCTCGACGACGTCTGCGAAACTCATTCGATGTAGGACGTTCAACTTCTGAAACAGAGGTGTATAAATGGTCCCGTACGTCGTCGATGCCCTTACCGATTGTCGTCTGCGATTTTTTAAAAATTAAATGTAGATTTTTATGCGCTTAACTTTATGATAATTCACGATTAAGGGTTTTTTTGCAAGGATTAATTGAACAATATCATCAAAGGCATCTAAACGAACCAAAGTTAAACAAACGAATGAACAAACGAGCAATATTCATATATAAAAACAAATACATATATATATATATATATATATATATATATATATATATATATATATATATATATGTGTGTGTGTGTGTGTGTGTGTGTGTGTATGTATGTATATACGTGTGTGTGTGTGTGTGTGCGTGTGTGTGTGCAAACGTAGGCAAATATTTAAAAACTAATCAGCCATCGTTATAAAGCAATTTGAAATGCATTCAAATGCAGCGGTATGTATGTATCTAAGTATGTGTCTGTATGTGTATGTGTGTCTGTTTATGTATGTTTGTGTATGTGTGTGCGTGTGTGTGCGCGCGCATCCAAGAACGAATGCTGAAAATTTGTAAACAAATAAATTTGTAAGTTTTTTGAAGTCCATGAATGGAGTAAAAATTTAATCAATATTTAACTAATAAATAATTAAATTTCACATTTATTTGTGTGTTTGTGTAGGCGAACCTATGTATGTGTGTATGTATGTATAAATAGGTATGTGTGCATTTGTGTTTGATATGTGTGTGTGTGTGTATCATACACACATTCATTCAATTTTTAATTCATTCATTAATTCATTCACTAATTCATTTATTCATTCATGACTCATTCATTCGTTCGTTTGTTCATTCATTGATTGATATTGTCATCTTTTTTAAGACTTGTTCAAAATTGTTGTTTGAGTGATTAGCAGTTGAGGTCTCAGAGAGGTTAAGAGAGAAAATTACTGTTAATGACGATTAGTAATAATAATAATAATAATTATTAGTAGTAATAATAATATTAAAATATATTGAATTTTAAATTTATATAGCACCAATTATAATTGCTTCTCATCAGCGCCCTTCTCGTAGAAATTGCTAAGGGATAGCATGTTGAAAGTTATGTGTGTAAATGTATGTATGTATAAATAGGAATGTGTGCATTTGTGTTTGACGTGTGTGTGTGTATCATCTAGGATCATGATCACTAGAAGTTACAAAATAGGTATGTCTTTAGACCAGGGCTCAGCAAACTTTTTGCTGTGAGGGCCGCAAATTTTTTCGACCCGGGGGAGAATTTTTTAAGATTTGATTTTTGGTCATAATGTCTGGCTTCGCGGGCCGCATAAAATAGCTTTGCTGCCCACCCCTGCTTTAAACGTTTTTCTAAAACTCAGCTAATGCTAAGTTAGGAAAACGTAACTGCAAAATCTCTATCTGCTGTTTCCACATTCCGATCTCTAACATACAACGTGTTTGAATCAGCAGACCTTAGACCCTATATACATAGAAATATATATATGTGTGTGTGTGTGTTTGTGTGTGTGCCTGTGTGTGAATTATTTGATTGAAAAAAGCGCATAGCAAAACCTTGTTCCCAAATTAATCACATCCATATCTGATTTCCTATTGGCCGTGAGAGAAAATCGTCTACTCTGATTGGCCAATGACTGTTGAATTAATGACGGCCGACGTCGTTCGCTAGCCAATCCCGTTCGAGATGCGGAGTCAACGCCCCGTCCATCTATAAAGTCATCATCGTCGTATAGTTGCTCCGTGAAAGGAACTGGAAATGTTTTGCTGGTTGTCATGTGCAGAGGAATTCGTTCCTCTTGTTCTTTCATCATTATTATGGTTGTTGTTGTTGTTGCGGTTGCTGTTGTTGTTGAGTGTGTTATTGAGTTTGTTGTTGTTGCCGGTGTTGAGTTTGTTTTTAAGTTTGTTGTTGTTCCTGTTGAATTCGTTGTTAGGTTTGTTGCTGTTGATTTTGTTGTTAAGTCGGTTGTTGCTGTTGTTAAATCTGTTGTTGTTGTTGTTAAGTTTGTTGTTGTTGTTGTTGGTTGTGGTGATTTTGAGATAAGAAATTTTTCTAAATGTTCTTCAGAAAATTGTTCGTCAGCAGATGTCAGGTCGACTGTTTGTTTTTCTTTCGTCTCGGGTACATTTACCTCTGGAGTCCTCACTGTGTTTTCTGATTTTACGAACTTTAATAGTTATATTAATAATAATAACAATAATAATAATAACAACAATAATAATAAAAACAACAATAATAATAATAATAATGCTGATGATGATAATAATAACAACAATAATGAACCACTAAATTCTTTTCAGTATCGAGGTTCTTCTTATCATCGTTGTCAGACATTATAAGAGTAAATAACTTAGAAATTAACAATAATAAAATAAGTTATATTATTATTATTATTGTTGTTATTATTTTAAATTTCTTTTTATGTAATTATTATCATAATTATTATTATTACAATACATTTTGAATTTAGTTAGAACGACAAAAACTTGTAATTCTTTTTGCAAAACCAAAATTATATATTGCCCAATCCAGGTATACAAAATTTTTTTTTATCACTTTTCCTCTCTTTCTCTCTGTTTTCTCCTCTCTCTCTCTTTCTCTTTCTCTATTTATATATATTATATATATATATATATATATTATATATATATATATATATATATATTATATATATATATATATATATATGTATAAATATTCAGACAAACAATGTAAGTATGTATGTATGTATACATGAATCTATGTGTGTATTTATGTGTCCACCTGCTTATGTGCGTGCGTGTGTGTGTGTGTATGTATGTGTGCGTGCGTGCGTGTGTGTGTGTGTGTATGTGGTGTAATTTTTTAATTAAACAGACGCCATTATCGACGAACTTAGAACTCATCTCTGCATGGTGTTGGTTTTCTGATCATCTGTTTTTAAAATTTCAATAATAACTTTCTTATTATTATTCTTATTGCTTTTATTATTATAGTATAATTATTATTTAAAAACAATATAGTTATATTAATAAATATAATATAATTATTTAAAAATAAAATGTCGGTCGTATTAACAACAGATTAAATCAAATTTTTATTCAAACATTAATTGTACGATAATAAAAACAAGAAACATTGACCGAAAAATCAATAATAATCAATAATAATAATAAAATAATAATTCACAACAGTAACAAGAAAGGGTAAGAGTGTTAATATTATGGCTTTGAAAAACAATTATCTAATTGCACATGTAAGCAAAATAAATTAAGGAAAATAAAATATATATACACCAATTTATTCACTAAATGATAAATTAATCGATTGACTGATTAACTAATTAATGAACTTATTAATTAATTAATCAATCAATCAATTGATTAATTAATTAATTAATTAATGATTGTTTCTCGTGAAATATTTAAAAAAAGAGTGAGAGACAAAAATAAAAATGAAATGCAGGGATTGAAGTGCTAGGGATGAAACAAAAAAAATGCGAATCGTACGAAAAAATAAAGTGAATGAATGAATGAACGAATGAATGAATGAATAAACAAATAAAAGCAAAACTAACGAACGAACGAATGAAACAAACCGACAAATCATTCAAAAACAAATGAATGAATGAATCAATCAATCAATCAATCAACCAATTAATCAATCAATCAACCAACCAACAAACAAACAAAGAATGAACGAACAAATGAATAAGAAATTGAATAAAAAATTGAACGAACGAATAATTAAACGAACAAACAAATGAATTAATGAACAAACGAACGATAGAATGAAAAAAGTAAATGAACGAATGAAAGAAAGAAGGAATAAAATTATACAAAGAATGAAAGAAAGAAAAGAAAGAATAAATGAGTCAAATATTAAAATTTGATGAATAATTCATTTATACCGCCATATTTTGAAATAATATTACTAAAACGATAAATTACTGTATATATATAATATTATATATATATATATAATATATATATCATATATATATCTGTACTGCAGAGGGCTGAAAGAGCTATGGTGAGGATGATGTGTGGGGTTAAAGTGAAGGATAGGAGGAGTAGTACAGAGCTGATGTCAATGATGGGACTGAATGAGGACATTGTGACATTGATAAGGAGATCGAGATTGCGGTGGTATGGACATGTGTTGAGAAGGGATGAAAGGGTCGGGATTAGGCGAGCGTTGGAGTTCGAGGTTGAAGGAGTGGTAGGAAGGGGTCGTCCGCGATTGGGATGGAGAGAGCAGGTGGAGAAGGACAGGGTGAAAGCGGGGTTGCGTGATACTGAGGCGAGTGACAGATGTGGATGGAGTCGAGGGGTATTTCGGTTTCATCATAGGTAGCCAAACGGCAACCCCCGATCTCGGGGAAAATGCCGTCTAAACGTGTGTTGTTGTTGTTGTATATATCATATATATATCATATATATATATATAATATATATATATCATATATATATATATAATATATATATATATGTGTGTGTTGGTGTGTGTGTGTGTGAACGTGTGTGTGTTCGTCTGT